TGAGAATGAAAATGAAAATGACAACATCCAGGATGATAGAAACAACAATATAAACAATAATAATAACAACAATGACGTCCCTGTGGAGGCGAGAAATCAGGGTGAAGAAATTCCTGGGGAGGCGAGAAATCCTGGAGAGGAAGAGGCTGGTGCTGGTGACAACCAAGGGAACACCCAGGGGAACGAAGGGACAGACAGGGTGGTCGAGGAGATCCCTGTTAGGCCCTCCATCCTTGCCCTCTCGTGGACCTTCCTTACCTCACTTTTCACGTCACTCATCCCCGAACAGCCACAAGTGATTTAGGTGCTGCATCCTGCTACTCTCTGCCAGTCAAAGTTGAGTGGCATTGGCATGAGCAAGGATTGACTGGCTGAAGTTGCTCATCTGTGCGGCGTAAAGAGAGGACGGAACGCCGGGAAGTGGGTGTGGAGGACATTAACCTAAGAGTTTATCAACGCCTTGTTTGTTCTAGTTTATTTGTAAGTAAGCATGGTTGCCTATCAGTATTTCTTGAATATGGTTACAAAAAGAAGAAAAAAAGGAAAAAGAAAACAAATATTTGAGCTGAAAACTGAAGTAAAGATTCTCTGTGCTAAGTTAGCTGTCTTGGCAGCACATGGGTTAATCACTTTGAAAAAGAGGGTCTTCTTTCTCTAGAGTTGATTCTGCACTCACATTTGTCAATGCTTGTATTTGGTTGACAAAAGAAAACTATGTAATGGAGCACTTGGGAAGATCACTTGTGTATTTGCCATGTTATTGTCTACTATGTAGCATAGGGACATAGATTAAAAAAAAGACAAAAAATGTTTATATAGAACTTAATATATGTATCATCAGTATGTAAAAAGGTAACTTGGTGATGGCATATGTCATTTTCTTGTCTTTTGGGAAAAAATGTTTATCACTATTTTTTTCTGTAAGAGAAGAATGCAGGGAAAATCCTGTTTTATCATGTCTTAAAAGCTTTAGTTTTTACATATTTCATATTGGATGTTGAAAGGTAACATTTGTAAAAAACTTATATAAAGATAATTGATCATAGGAACTCTTTTTAAGACCAGGGAAAGTAACTACCATTAGAAAACATAAAACAAGTGTTGTTACCAGTGTTTTAAAGAAGGCAAAACATTATGTATATACAGACCTGAACAATTGGGCTGGCATTATTTTCACTCTTGCATCTGTTATCAAGTTTTCACAACTGAACAATGAATGGCCAGTGGACCTGCAAGGGGGAATTTAATCCCAAGACCACAATACTTGCTATTTATTCTTATTTTTTTTTATCATTCACCTCGTACCATTCATGGAAGTCAAAATGTACAGAGAAACAAATCTGTCTGTTGTTGTAGGGTGTAACTGTCCTTCAGTTTGATATTGCTACTTTTATGCTGTATTCCCTTGAAGGCTTGACTGTTACAAAATAACTTGTTATTGTACTGTCTGTCTTTCATGTTGAACTGAGAGGACACAGGGTTGACATGCCAGAGTTTTATTTTTCTTGTACTCATTGACTGGGTATTTTTCAACAGGGGGAAAAAAGAAGGAAAAGAAAAAAAGATGACAACAGTCACTTTACAATGACTCCTTTGTCTTCCTCTCTGCTAATTTTAATACCATCAGATGCCATTGCAAAGCATTGATTTCCAATGGTGCCATCATGAATTCTTGAAGATTCCTAGCTGACCTTTTCAATTGTATCAAAGGGGTTCTGTTCTGCTTGTGGGAGCGACCTGTAGCTGATGGGAGGTGCTGGTAGAGGTGTTGCAGAGCCATTGCTTTGTAAATGTATGCATATGCTAAGCAACATGTAAATCTACCATTAGGGAAAAGAAGTCAAGAATTACTGATATCAAAGTGAAGAGGGATGGATGGATGGATGGATGGAGGGAGGAGAGAGGAGGGAGGCAGGGAAAGGTGCACATTTCTCCCAAATTAAATGTCAGGCAACACCCCCACCCCCTACCCTTTCCCTTCCCCACATCCTCCTCCCTACACCCTATCCATTCCTTGTAAATCGGTACCTCTTTGATCTAGACAAGACAACTGTGAGATATGCACTCCCCATGTAAACACTGGAACAAAGGAAGACGTTTTATAAAAGGAGTAGTTCGTATGAGGTAATCTGTTAATGTGCTTGTTTTAAAGACCCAAATTTCCCTCTCTGGATGTTCTTAAGGAAAAAGTACCCATTTTGTACCTTTCTTCTATTCATACTTATGTTTCTGTGATCACCAGTGTATAATAGAGTTTATATTTATTTCGTATAGTATAGCCTATAAATAGTTTATAAAGTAAACATATTTTTTTCTTGCCTCTAGGAAATATAAATATCAGAGTACTTTGTTCTTCACAGATTTTTTCTTTCTTTCTGTATACTTTTTTGTATAAAGTCACATTTATCAATATTATTGTATGAAAAATTTATAATGCTTTATGTTGGAAAATGTGCATGGGAATATGCTCTTCAGACATAATAAAGCTATGTGATGAAAACGCCTTTCTTGCAACCTGCTAAAAATACGGAGAATCATTCAATCCCATTCTCTTCATTTGTAAAGTTGAAATCGCCCTTGCATGCGAAACTTCTGCAGCCAAAAAAGCAGCTCGGATTTTAATTTCAAAGAAAGGAAAGTTTAGAGTAAGTCCCGTGTTACGAGCTGCTCAGAAAGCGCGATTTGCAAGGGATTTTTTGCCAGCACAAGGCCACGAGGAGGCCATGGTGGGAAGGTGGAGGGAGGGAGAGCGAGAGAGAGAGAGAGAGAAGAGAGAGAGGAGGTGGAGAGGTGGTTGTGCCTGAGAGCGCCCGTGCCTGCTTGCCTGCCTGCCTGCCTGGCCACCATTGCCACCACACAACCACCGCACATTTTTTAGTGTGCTTGCATCCCGCCAGCGCCTACCGCGGGCCGTGTCAGCCGCGAGGAGGTCACGGGCGGGAGAACAGGAGGCCTGTTGGCCATCGGCGAGGCCGGCCAGGTGGGGCGAGAGGGCGAAAATGTGTCCCCAAGTTGGGGCAAGTCGCGAGTCCTGAAGCGGAGCGAGCGAGCGAGTGAGTGTCCAGTGCGGCCGTCGCTGCCGGTCCCTTCCCTCGCTCGGGCCTCCGCCGCCGCCGCGCGCGCTCATTGGCCGCCGCCGCGCTTCCTCGGTTCTGATTGGCCGAGAGCAGCACCCAAAACAAAGCCATTTGGTAAACAAACATCTCAGCTGACAGACGACGCCGGACGGCCGATCAATGGCACCTTTTAGTATTTTTCTCCTCACTTAATGGAAGTGTGTTGCCGAGAAGAGCCATCAACACCCATGACAGACCGGAGTGTGCTCAGTGACGATGAGAAGAGACAGCGTATCGACCTCGCGCCCGTCCCCGGTGGCATGGAGCTGAAGGTGGGCGGCGAGGAGGCTCTCTCGGGCCAGGCTGACCACGGTGGCCAGGGTGGCGAGGGTGGCCAGGTTGCTGGTGCTGGTGGCTGTGAGTCGAGGCTCTTGCACGACATGGGCCCGCAGGCTGTGATACACAACCCTCCCGGGGAGATAAACGGACACATAAGTGAGGGCACGACGGGCAAAGGTGATTCTGTGTATGACTTCGACCCCGACACCGAGGGCGAGATGCCCAGCGCCGCCGAGGAGGACTCCCTGGCCTCCCCGGACAAGCACAGTGAGAGGAGCGAAACCACGGACAGTAATGTGAAACATGAGCCTGAACTGGAGACGTTAGACGACTCCGAAATGGTGGGGGATGAGTCGTTAAGTGGGTCCTTTCATGATGATGTTTATCCCATAGAACCCCCAATGGGTGATACGAGCTTCGGAGACATTCCAAGGCGGGGACGAGGGCGGCCCAGGGGGAGCAAGAACAGAATAGACGACGGCAGGGGGCGAGGCAGGGGCTTCAAGTTCAGAAGAATGTCTGAGGACCGCACCTGTACGGCCTACGACCTGCGAAACATTCCCGACCCCTTTGCGAACCAGCGAAGGGGCAGGCCCAGGAGCAGGTTCATCGTCGACCTGGGCGAGCAGAACCACGAGGCCTGGGCCAAGTCCAAAGAGGAACTTAATATCTCTGATGCAGAACTGACGACTTTATTATTAAGTTTGTAAGTTATTCACAGGGTTTCTCAGTAGCATGGGTTCATTACATAGTCTGCGCACCATTATTCTAAGCACTGAAATGAATGTCATTGCAGGCTGGTGAAATGCCGTAATCTAAGCCACCTTGTTCTGCAGGTTTTGTTCATTGGATGATATTAATTACTAATCACAAGTCTTTTGCATCTGATTATATCTCAATTAAAGGAAAAAGTTATCATGTAATCGCCCCACGAGATTACGAAGCCTTATGTGCTGGAAATGATTGGTAGTACAAAGAAAAGCCTCCTGTGTTAGGTAGGATCTGCCTATAAATGGGACAAAGTTTTTTTTTTTCTCAATGGTGCTACGAGAGAGATTTAGTGTTCTAATTTGCAAAATAGAAAAAGCTTATTTGTGATTTGCACCTTAGAAAATAATCCGCCATCCCCCCAAAATAATTGTGGTCGATTATGAATGACAATTATGCAAGTTTGTATCAGAATTACATTCAATCTTTTAAATTTGTTTGGAAATAATGCATTCAAAGACAAAAGTGTAGAGGAAAAAGTATATAAAAAAATAGAATAGAAAAAAGAGGGGAAAAAATGGAAGTAATAGAGGACTTTTACAGTGATGTTCTATAACAAAGAAAATTTAACAAAATATGTATTTTAATGTGAACACAGATATATAGATAACAAATGCATAATGTCACGTTTACGCTGAGATTGTTTTTTACTTTTTTTCTCTGTTTTAAAGAATTGAGTTCTTTGTTTGAGAGTGGCAGAGTAAAGAAAAAGACAATTTTGGGATACATTTTTTTCTGCTATTTTTCCACCCCCTTTTTTTTTTATTCCCTTTCCCAGGTGGATTTCACAGCTTGTCATTGGAATATATTTATGTTTGATGAGGAGTTTTTATAGTG